TGTATGATCAATAAAATACTTTTTTTGGCATGATCAGTCATATTTTCAATATCAGTGATAAAAATTTCACTATTTCTGCCAGGGGATGCAAACGTTTAAGCACAACTGTATAGGACAGAGTCACTAAAAGTGTAGTTGTTTTTTTAATGCCTGACTTTCCTCTGTATGAGCTCCCAGACTTTAGCTTTATAGCCTTACATACTCAACTTGCTTTCTGCCTGCCCCTGTGATTTGTCCAGTATGATACAGAGGTAGCAATATTTTTTATTTATTGGGTGTGATAAACCATAGAGCCAGTACCACTGCAGGTAAAATCCAGGTAATAGCAAAGCCAAAAAATGGATCCAGGCAATTATCTACGATGCTGGTTTAGAGATGATCAAGTTATGTTCATCCCTACCTATGCAGATACCATTATGTACTTGGTTGTATGTGTAATGTCCCACACATGGCAGCCTTGCTTCCGCTAGAAAGTAAAAGTGTTACAACAGTCTTAGTAAGTGAGCACGGTGGGTGGGGGGGGAGAAGGGACCCTATAATGACATCATTTTCCTATGACTCTCTGCTTAGGCCTAGGCATGCTAAAGGCGGCCATAGACTATTTGAATGGGCTGAACCAGCCAAGATTCGGACCATGTATGGGCAGGCTGAATGTGCCCAATTGATCTTGTTGGGGGCTCCCCCCCACCCAGGGGCAGACTGACAACTCATGGGGCCCCCGGGCAATAGGGGATCATGGGGCCCCTGTGTCCTTGCCCAAACTCAAAAAAGCCTATGAAAAAGGTACCATGGGCATCTCATGGGGCCCCCTACTGACCCTGGGCCCTCGGACAGTGCCCGAGTTTCCAAATGGTCAGTCCGCCCCTACCCCCACCCCCTACCCAGAGAACACAATGGGTCCAACACATCGGTGTTGATGGAATCAAGTGAATTTCTTTTCTGCAACCCATGCTTGTTGGAAAGAAATTCGCTCCATCTATGGCAAGACTTCGTTGTCTGCTCAAAGACTGATTTTATTGATAAAAGGTAGAGCATTTTGGAAAATGATACGATTTATTCATATTACGACATGTCAGGGATATATTCAGACAGACTTTGTAAAGTTACCGATAAGTCCACTTGAAGATGGGATGGGTCACATCTAACCATAAAACTAGATAAATTAGTTTTAACTTTTATTTTAGTAAATTAAGCAAAAACCCATTAAATGTAATAGCAGATAAAGGCTGCAAGCAGCCCTCTCAGGCCTTAATAGCTTAACCTGATGTAAAGTTAAAAGGAAAGGTCATTGCCTTAATCTACCATGTAAATTACAGTAATCATCAAAAAGAAACGTATTCTCTTTTCTTTTGTAACATTTAATGTAACAGCAGCATGTGAGCAATGGCTTTCCATAGAGAGGCTGACCTGGGTTCAGTCCAGTCTGCTCCGTGTGCTGTGACATGATTGCCTTATAATAACCATATTAAGCTGCACATATCACCCGTAATCGCACTGAACTTACTTGATCCTTGACCTAGTTATTTCTTTCTTGCACATTATCCTCATAAAGATTTCTGCAGGGGCTAGCTTTTATTCACATGGGTAATGTGGAAAAACAAGAGGTTGGTCTATAGCTTGGACCTTTTAGAACAGCACAAGCTGTACTTTGATCTCCTATTTTCTTGTATTTCATTATTTTTGACTGTAACTTTCCATAAAAAAAGTATGGGTTCTCCTACCCCCTCTTAGCTTTTATAATAGAAATCAGACCTCACATGCAGCCTGGTTCCAGTTTACCTGCAGGTAAGGTTATACTGTTTTACTGCTACTGGGTGATCATATATATATATATATATATATATATATATATATATATATATATATACACGTGATTGTTCATTTCCAGGAACGGGGCGTGCGCGCTGTCCTACTCGTGCTGTCATTGGCTCCTGTAGGCGTCAATCACCTGAATATGTTTTATAGCAAGAAGTAAAAAATATTGTTAGTTTTTTTTTACTTTTCACTTTTTTTTGATTTATAGTGCAAAAAAAATAGAAAACCCAGTTATGATCAAAAACCACCAAAAGAAAGCTCTATTTGTGTGAAAAAATGGTATAAATTTAATTTGTGTTGCATGATCGTGCAATTTTCAGTTAAAAGTAGCGCAGCGTCGTATAGCAAAAATATGGCCCGGTCATGAAGGGGGGTATATCTTCCGGAGGGCAGGTGGTTAAAGTAAACTTGTTCATTGCCCATGCAGGAAAAAAACAGGTCCACTTTAATGCCCCTCTTCCCAGCAGCATGTATTTACTTTCCGTTTGCTCCACCACTGCTGTGATCAGCTGTCAAGAGGGAAGAACATACCCTCTACCTCTGGGTATGAAGGTGCATGTGACTTACTCCCATTCCTTGTCAAATGGGGACGGAGCGATTATTCATTTTTTTGTAAGCTTCAGCTAGAGCATCTTGCATGGGCTTGCATTTCCTGGTCCTAACAGCTGAACAGAACTGCATGAGAGCAAAGGACAGTTGGAAAATGTGCTGCCAGGAAAATTGGGCATTAAAGCAAATCTGTTGGTTTGCCCTGCAAGGATGGAGATTTAGATGCTTGCAAATGCCCATTCCTAACTGGTTCTTTTTAAAGTGTAAATGTTTTGGAACACAGATGGTGCCTTCATTGTTTTTAGTTTAGTTGTTTAAATCCACATCACCCAAAAAAATATTCAGTTTTTTAATGGATAGTACAAGAGTTCTGGTTTCCAGTGGGTTTTTAGAAAGAATGAAATGGCTTGAATTTTGACTTTTTAGAATTTAAAGCAGTTGTAAACCCTTCCCTATACCCAGTGAAGTGACTGGCCTCAGGTGATACACCGAGATTAAACAAATCTTCCTATATAAAGTGTACCTTGCTTTTTCAGTGTTCTCTTCTCTAAATCTAAGTCCAGAATTTATAAAGCTTGTCTGAACTTTCAGAAAGCAGGGGGCAGGGAGCTGAAGTTATACGCTGATTGGAGGGAAGGGACACCCCCCCCCCCCCCCCTTTCACATAGCATACAGGGACAGAACTGAGGCTGCCACTCACAGGCTGTGTGTTGGAGCTCCCTCCCCTGTCACCTTTTCTCTCTTGGGGTCAGGAAAACATGTCAGAAGTGACCCATGCTGATATCAGAGGAAGGAGGCAACAGAGAGAAATGACATTTGGTGCTCTGGATAGAGACATGTACACAATATAAAGGGGCATGCTTTGTTCATATTTCATGTTTACAACCACTCTAAATTGTATGACCAGAGGATGAGTGATACAGCGTTTTACAATCATGCATCCTCTAGAGAATTCTCCATAGAATGGCTGGTGATAAATAAAGTGTGGCTGAAAAAGTGCTATCAGAACTACACTGGGCAGGATGAAGCTACAAACTGATGTCGAACTTTAGGGTTCAGAACATCAGTGTCAGTCACATTTTATCACATACTATGCTAATACATACTATGCTAGTATGTAAGATGGGGACATATACATAATAATACAGTTGTTATGATGTTCTCTTTTGTTTCCCGTTCTGCATTGTTTTACATGTGTCTTTTACGCCCCATTCACACCTGAGCATTTTGTAGCAAAATTTCAGGGTGGAAAAAAAATCAATTATTCTTTATTGTGGTGGTTCACATCTACACTCCAAAACGTGTGATGCTCAAAACAGTTTTGTAGCTACTTTTGTAGCTCAATTCGGGCAGATTGTTTTTTTTTGTTTTTTTGTAAGCAGCTGAACGTAGAAACACATAGCAGCAAATTGTGTAACAGATGATGGTTTTCTCTACTAGCCAGTATAAAAATGGTAAAGCTCCAAAACGCTTGGAAAAAGCTGTACAAAAAAGCCCCAAAATGCACAATAAAGCACCCGAAAAAATGTGCAAAATCCTGACGCTTAGGTGTGATTGCAGGCACAGCATTAACATTGTTGTAAACCTTACCTTGTAAAACAATCCATTTAGTTTAAAACAGAAGTGAAATGCAACACATTTGTGCATATATATATATATATATATATATATATATATATATATATAGTAAAAAAAATTATAAACACGTGTTTCACTTTTTTTTTAAATAAATGATTACATTCCCTTTGTCCTCAGCTGCATAACTGCAGCACAATGATCTTCCCAGTAGATGGCTGTGCAGGGGGGCTGTCAGGGCAAGTCTGATCATTGAAGGAGAGCAGGCTGAATTCTCAACACAGCTAGAGAACTGACCAGGGTGTGTTCTCCTGCCTAGTGTGGTCAGTTTATAATAGGAAAGCAGAGGGACTGGCAGGAACACCAAGGATTTCCCACTAAGGAAGCAATACAAAGAGAGCAGAATACTTTTTAATACAAGTACATGGTGCAGCAGGCTCTTATCAGGAACATAAAATGTTGGGTTTAGATATTCTTTAAAGAGAACCTTTCTGTTTCCTAAAACATGCAGCCTAAACAGAATAAATAGTGGTTACTAATATGCAAAGTTCAAATTTGTGCAAAAAGTCAGAGACCAATTCTTCATCTCTATTTTCAAACCACTCCCCTCTGTCTGCTGATATATGCAGGTAGTCGTGACAGGTGGAGGGGCTATGGGGTGTAACGGATAGTCTGGCTTCACTTTCTCTATGCTGTTGGTAAACCTATATGGTGGCACCCAAAAGGGAATTAGCAGGTTCTCTGCTAACTACAATGTAGCAAATTGTGATGCCAAAATGATGATTTGAGTTGGTGAATGATCATCAAGCCTGCTAGACACAGCTGTTGTACAGTCTAATCAACTAGGGTTGTCACACTCAGACCTTAAAAAAAATACTTTTTCAAAATACACTAAACCTTTTACCATTGGAAGACTTGCCCACCCTTACTCTACACAGCTTAATATTTACTACAAATGAGTTTGGCTAAAGCTAAAAGAGAAACCTTGTTACTTTGTGAAATGCTTTTTGGTTAAAACATTACTTTCTGACTGTGCTCAAGATGTTTTTTTTCTTAAACAGTGAACGAATCCCCACAATCTCTCATCTACCAAGATTGGGAAAATCTAGACTTGGCATAACAGCAGCCATTGCAACAGAAGCTAAAGAACTCTCGCGATCTGTCCGTTCCATCGTAGAAGTGGACAGTAAGTTTAATATAGTCTTACATTTTTCTGTATGTGTGTGTGTGTGGTAGGGATGGAGGGTCATGTGTTTGCTCACATTATAAAAGTACACCCCTCTGTCCATACTTTGTTTTTATGGGTAGCTTTAAGAGGACTTCCAGGCATGGAACGCAATTTCGGCACATCCAGCACTGAATGGGGGGGGGGGAGGGGTATTGTTGCTAGGAAGGTCTGTTGTTGCTGGGGGGGGGGTATTGTTGCTGGGAAGGTCTATTGTTGCTGGTGGGGAAGCCCCCCACTTTCTCCTCATTGGCTCACTGGCTGTGATTGACAGCAGCGGGAGCCAATGGACTTCCGCTGCTGTCTCAGCCAATGAGGAGGAAGAGTCCCCAGACAGCTGAGGTTGTCAAGAATGTCACTGGATCAGAGGGGGATCAGGTATGGATTGGGGGGGCTTCTGCACACAGAATACATTTTTGCCTGGGGTGGGTCTTATGTTGCTTGGTATCATTACTAGGAGGGATCTACTGTTGAAGGAGGGGTTTATTGATGTTGGCTGATGGGAGTCTATTGTTGCTGGGGTGGATTTATTGTCACTGTGTGTGGGGGGGGGGGGGGGGGGGGGCTCTGTTGCTGGGGAGGTCTATTATTGCTGGCTGCTGGGGATCTATTATTGCTGGAGAGAATCTATGTTGTTCGGGGGAGGGGGGGGGTCTATTGTTGCTAGCTACATGGGATCTATTTTACTGCCTTTCTTGTTATCATTAAGAAATTCCATACAGATTACTTATCACCACAAAATTATACTTGGTTCTGTATTCTATACAAGGGGGTGGTATTGGGAGGTGGGTAGGGGGTGGCGCCAAGGAATGGTGCTTGGAGGTGGGTAGGGGTCAGAGACAAGGGGTGACTCAGAAGGGGGGAGTTCCTGCACCTATTTTCTGAGATAAAAAGCCCTGGTATATACCATACATGGCTGATGCCCTTAGAAGCAGAAAATCACAGAAGTTGACTCTGCTACTCCAGCAATCTCCACTTACTTTGTGGTGTTGTGTCGAGCGGGCTGTCCTGCTGCATCGTGAGCACGGGAGGTCAGCCATATAGCACAAGCAACATTCAGAGAAAGGTTTAAATTTTCTATGTGAATGCAACGAGTTCTATGATTGGGCAAGTCGAAGAGGCAGTGGGTTGACATCACACTCTCCAGCATTTTGGATAGAAAACACTCCAAGGCTTTTTTCTAAAGGTATAGTAAGTTTTTTTTTGAAAATACAATTTTTGGCCACAAGTTTTGGAAAATGCAGGAAAGAAAATTAAAATGTATTTTTGTACACAAAGTTGTCTATAATAAAATATTTCTAACACACATCATAGGCATACTTAGAAACAAACCTCAAAACACGTTCTGCTTCTCCTCCCGAGTGTAAGACTTTTTTACATCCTAGCCACACAATGGGGCACAAAATCCAAGGTGCATCTTTAGGCTTTCTATTGGCATACATTACCATTACACATCTAATTTCCATACTATCACATTTTTGGTGGCCATGTAGCACCAGGACAGTGGATAAAATTACCACATTTTTTTTAACGTGATGGCAAAGCAAGACTTTTGTGATCCATGTCGGTGTCATATGAAGTCCTCTCGGAGATGAAGATGACAGCAACGAAGAAAAACGCGTTTTATTTTTTTAACAGTTTTGGTCTTTTTTTTTCGTTCATTTAACAAAAAATCCAGTGGTGAATAAATACCACCTAAAGAAAGCTCTAGGTGTGAACAAAATGATAAAAATTTAGTTTGGGTACAGCGGTGCATAACCGCGCAATTGTCATTCAAAGTGTGACACTGCTGAAAGCAAGAGGAGTAAAAGTGCCAGTTAAAAGATTTCATTTTTTTGCCCCACGTGTTTTTGTAAAATGTGGAAGGGAAAAAATACATATATTTTTTTACGTTTAAAAAAAATTATTCTTTCTACTGTCACCATAGTGACAATGTACTACTTAGGGGGGGGGGGGGGGGTGATCAGGATATTTTTCTTTTTTCACTGTGATTGCTTTTACTGCCATGACTGCTGTAAGAGCAGTCATTTCTCACTCTCTCTCTGGTTGCATTCCTGCAGCCATTGAGAAATACTGTGATACTTGTGACTGGCCACAGCTATCACATGGTACAGGGCTGCTGTGATTTGGCCCTGTACCGTGTGATCTCGCTGACTAATCACAGAGTAAACGATGATGCCAGGAAACTACATATTGTTTACCACTGTGATCGCTGGTTGGCTATAATGATCAGTATTCCTCTTTGTCCACCTGGACATAGCAGAAAGTTGATCGTGCACTGCACGCTTCCAGGTAGCAAGCACAAGCGATGGATGCAGGGGGACATACGAGTACATCCACTCGCATCGACGCTGCTCCCAGACGGCTGTTTGTGTACAGTGGCAAGGCAGGAAACGGTTAAACAGGAAGTTTGGTGTTTTTCACTAAATTTCGGCAAGTGTTTTTCAGTACTTGCAGTGTTTTTAAAGGGATAATTCATGAAAAATGTGCATGTATTGGAAAGAGGTACTGAGCAAATTTTTTTCTATTTTGACCATTTTTATTATAATATCAATATAATTAATTCTTTTTAAAATTTTGCCATTATTTGACATAACTATAAAATCTGTTTTTATCTCCAAAAGCACCACTCCGTTTCTGCTTCAACTTGCTGGCAAAAGGGACAACATCACCAATATTACACATTCATATTATTTCAACAGTGGCTAGCCTCTTACTCCAAATTGCTTGCTTTAGAAAAACCGATATTTACTCTGTTTCTGTGTCCACCATAATGGGCTTCACATTACTGTCTAGCAGCAGGGTGGCCTTCCCATGCCATGAGCTGCCCCATTTTCTTTCTGTAATGAAATTATGCGCACAGAAGGGGTCATTGAGGACATAGTGAGTGACAAAAAAGTTGTGAAATGGAAATTATGTACTAATAAAAAATAATAACTTTATTGTCGGCATTATGCAATCAGATACACATTCACACATAAGTGAATTCATGTTTAAGAACGTCATTCATGAAAGCTTTTTCAGTTCCAACTATTAAAGGAACTTATTGTGTTCTAATAGCAAAGATGAGTTATTTTATAGGGGGGGGGGGTTCTCATTTTACATGAGTTATTTTTATGATGTTCTGAATTACATGCCTGGGCTCAAAAAATGTGAGTTGCACAAAGAGCATTGGCCTGCAGAGCAATTTGGGTCTTCAGTGCTTGCAGTTCTAAATTACAGTATTGTACATCAAACAGGATCTAAACGTTAAACATTTTTTACCTTAATACATTCCCTGCTTTAAGGTAAAAAATGTTTAGCTAGTAATATTGCCCTCTCACTCCCCCTTATACTTACCTCACTCGATCCAGTGATGCGCCCGTCTGTAGCGGCTCTCCCCACTCTCACAGACTTTGCTGAGGCAGCGGGAGCCATGGGTTCCCTGCTACTGTCAATCGAATGAAAGGAGCGGGCGCTGTCCGTGTCTATGGACGCCATAGTGGTGACACACTAAGAAGGAGGAGCCAGGAGCTCTGGCAGGGGACCCTAGAAGAGGAGGATTTGGGCCGCTCTGTGCAGTTATATTGCACAGAGCAGGTGATTATAACATGCATGTTTACAATCACTTTAAAAATGAACAGCAGCCAAGTAGATAGAAATACTGAATAATGCAGCTACTGTATGTATTCATATTAAAAAAAATAAAACCTATTTCCAAACCATATTTTTTTTTTAAAGTGCCTGGGCCTTTAAAAAAAAAGTTGTTGCCTCAATACTTACCACCTCTCTAGTGCTACCTTCCCCCTGCAGACTTAAAGTGGTTGAAAACCTCAGACATGAAATATGAAAGTAAATCCCTCTATAGTGTGTACATGTCTCAGTCCAGAGCACTATGTCAGTCTGTCTGCTGCCTCCTTCCTCTGCTATCAGCATGAATCACTTCTAAGAAGTTTTCCTGACGCTAAGAGAAAAATGATGGCAGGGGAGGGACAGCCTCAGCTTTGTTCCAGTGTGTTGTGCGGAGGAAGGGGGGTGTCTTTTCTTCTAATCAGCTCTCAAAGATTTGCTCACTGGGCTCTGTAGGGCAAAACTTCAACTCTCCACCCACTTTTTTTCTGAATTCTCAAACATGCTTTATAAATTCAGCACTTTGGACGGCGGTAGAGAGGAGAGGGCTGCAAATTAACAGGTACAACTTGTGTAGGAGTTTTATTAGTTTCATCTCTGTGTATCACCTGAAGTCAGTCACTGCACTTGGTATACGTTAGGGTTTACAACCACATTACCACTCCATGTTCAGTGCTCTTTCTCTGATGTGAAAATCGGAGGGACGAAAGGGCCGCCTGGCTATCAGTCCGGTATAGGCTGGGGGCGGGATCTGGTTAAGCTGACAATAAAAACAGAAGCTGCTTTCTATGCAGCGCTGCACCAGATTTTGCACTCTTTAATTTTAGTAAATCTCCCCCACTGCATTGTTGCCGGAGGGGTAAGTGCAGTGGGCTTTTGTTCCATCTTATTGTTCAGCTTCTGATTTATGGTGTTGCTAGATGTCCTGTGTAATAGCTGGAAACCATATACAATCCTTCATGTGCTTCAACCAGTACAAGTATAGGAAATTCACATGCAAATCATGTGCAATAATCAGATTACTGTATAATGTCAAAACAGAGGTGCAAAAAAAAATGTGTACATTGGAATAGAAAATCAAGCTCCTGTGCAATTTTTCTGATGACACCTTTGCAAGGATCTTGTTACTAAATCGTCACACAATTTTTTCTCTTATGAATAAACAGATGATTGTAAATCAAACATTTTTAAAACCGCAATCTTGTATGTTCTGATGTCCCTAAGGCTGATTCTCACTTTCACATGTTTAATGAACTTAAATGCACACATGTAAAATATATGGTGAAATTGGTGGTGTTATTTATCTTACAGCTGAACTCCAGGCAAACAACTAAAAACACAGATGGAATAC